GGTGAGGCCTTGAAACTCCTCATCCTGTTCTCAAATTGTACTTTAAGGGTCTCCAGACCCAGCTGCCCCCCACCTGAAACCCTCCCCGGTTTCCCTCCATCTTCTCCCTCCCCCAAAGTCTCCTTCTGGGCAAAAGGCAGAACAAGCAGCGTCATCTTGGCCTTGGATCCACAGAGCCCAAAGTCCTCCATCTGAGCGGCCCTTCCCCAGTTCTTCTGCTTCCCAAAGGAATGGAGGAAGGCAAGGGGTTCCCCTGCCACTGCCCCTCCATTCACTGCCCCCCAAAAGGGAGAACCTCCCAGCCCAGAAGGAAAAGCGTCCAGGGCCCATGAGGCTTGGCCCCCCCAAAATAGCCCCTGTTGCTCTCTTAGGAGTCCTCCATGTCTGAGTAGTTGCAGAGGGATGGAGCCTCTGCCATACTCCTCTGTTGGGGGGAGTCTTGGGGGGAAGGGAGAGGATCCCAGGGCAGGAACAGTTGCCAGAATCCACAGCTGCAAAGAGGGACTGAGAATCTTGTGGCCTCAAAGAGGATCCGGTCGATGTGGGAAGAAGCTGGCAGGGATCCTGGTGACCGTAAATCATGGTCTGCATTCACAATAGTGCAAAGTCACAAGGGCTGGTCCCCACTTTGAGCTAACTAGAAACAAACCATGGCTTCATGTAATATGGGAACGAAGCCATGAAGGGCCACAAAGAATTATTTTCCTTAGGAACAGTAGTAAGTGTACCAATATTTATTTTTATTTATTTATATTTCAAATATAGTCACTGCCCATCTCACTCAGAGTGACTTGCACACCCAAAGTGTCATTGACCTTTTAAATGGATTTTTGAAGCTTAATTGTTTTTTTAATGTAGCCTCTTCATGGGCCCTTTGACACATTCACATGGGGGTTTTATGATTCTGTGATTCAGATCTAAGCGGGAAGCTGAGAATCGGGTTCAAGAAAGAGCGACTGGAGTGACTCTGCTTCCTCAGCCGGGAGACCAGCTGCAGAAGGAGCTTCGGACCAAAAATGGCCGGATGGAGCCCAGACTCAGCGAGAGACGACAAGTCACAGAAACGTTCAACACAGGGGAAAATTTCTTAAATCAATAAAGGTTTTGGTTTTACAGTTCAAATATTTGATATCTGTTTATTTTATATAACATTCTTATAGAATTATTCCTTATTTCTAGGTGTCTATAACGAGACTATTTCTGTGTCTTATAGGACAGGAATCTGAAGGAGTTGGCCAGCTTCCTGGCTCAAGTGTCCATGTGCATGGAACAGTGCGGTCATCTATTCGCCACAGAGGGGGAATGCGTGACCTACGTCTGCAGAGAGCTTTCAGGAAGGGCGGCGGAATGGCTGATCGAATTGCACGAAGCCCGCATGCCCGAACTCACCAACCTCGCCCGCTTCATAGCAGCCCTGAGGAGGAGGTTTGAGGACCCGGGGGCAGCCATGAGGGCCCGCTCCCAACTAGTTAAAATGAGGCAGGGAGCCCGAAATGTCAGTGAATATGGCCTAGAATTCCGAAGCCTCGAGGGAAAACTCCAACACTGGCCTGAGGAGTTTAAAGTTTCCTGCTTTCAACAGGGGCTGCGCCGCAATTTGTGGCAGCTAGCTTACACGCGAGGAAACCCACGTACCATTGACGAATGGGTGGCGCATGCCGCAGAAGTGGAAGCCAACTGGATGGCCGTCGACCCAGCATTTAAGCGGCAGGGCGGCATGCCTGCGCAAGCGCGTTGGAAACCGCCAGCAACGGGAGGAGACGAGAGTCTTCCCAGAGCGGCAAGGCAATGTGCCAGCTTCCGGGGCGGAGAACCGGGTCACTTCGCGCCCAACTGCTCCAAGCCATGGCCCACAGGTGCGCAGGAGCCGCAGGAGCCCCCAGCAGCCACCCGAAACGCTGCGCCCCGCAAGGGAAAGAAGGGAACCGCAGGGGGAAAAGCGCACAAAGCAACCATCGCTCAACCTGGCCGCGCCCCCGACAAAATGGCGGGCGCAACGGACGACGATGATGACTCTGAGGAGGATGAAGGGGTGAGTGTTACCACCGTAAAAGTGACTGTTACGGCGCCCATAATGGGGCGCAGAGCCACGCTAACCACGCTGATGGACACAGGCTGCTCAAGTTGTTTAATCACCCCTACCCTGGTGAACGCGTTAGAATTGAAAACAATAAAAATTTTTAAAAACCCATAGTATTTTATCAACTGGACGGATCCCAAGCAGGGGGAGGGGCCGTGCAGTTCCGCACTGAACAATTTAAACTGCAAATGGGAACCCACTAAGAGACCTTGAAATGCTTGGTAGCCCCTTTGGGGAGTTATGCCCTAATCCTGGGAGCAAACTGGGTGAAACGGTGGGACCCGAGAGTATATTGGAAAACAGGGCGAATGGAGTTTGTGGATGGGATTTATCTGGGCTCTGACCCACCAACAGGGGAAGGCATTGTTGCAGCAGTGGCAAGCAGCAGTGTTCAGCTGCTAAATCTTGACTCTGAAGCAATTGAAAACATCCTAGAACCCTACAGGGATCTAAAAGCTGTGTTCAGCAAAAAGGAGTCTGACACACTGCCCCCCCACAGAGACACTGACTGTGCTATTGAAATTAAACCAGGGGCTAAATTCCCAAAGAAAAAAACATACTCCATGACCCAAAAAGAACTGGCAGCCTTGAGGGAATTTATAGATACAAATCTGGCAAGGGGATTTATACAGCCTGCTAAATCCCAGATGGCTGCACCTGTTCTGTTTAGGGAAAAAAAAGATGGAAGCTTGAGGCTCTGCACAGACTATAGGGGCCTCAATGCCATTTGCAAAGAGAACAAGTACCCATTACCCCTCATGAAAGACTTGTTGGCACATTTGTCTAAGGGGAAAATCTTTACCAAGCTGGATTTGAGAGATGCATATTTTCGCGTGTGCATCAAAGATGGCCACGAATGGATGACATCATTTAGCACCCCTTTTGGCTGCTATGAGTACAAGGTCATGCCCTTCGGGCTTTCAGGGGCACCTGGGGTGTTTATGCAATTAATTAATGAGGTGCTGCATGAATTCTTGTATCAGGGAGTATTGGTTTATTTGGATGACATCCTCATTTATTCTGATAACTTGCAAGACCATGTAAAACTGGTACGTGAAGTGTTTAAAAAGTTGCTGGAGGTCCAATTATATGCCAAACTATCAAAATGTGAATTTCATAAGCAACGAGTGGACTATCTGGGGTACCGCATATCCCAGGCAGGAATTGAGATGGATCCCACCAAAGTTCAGGATGTGCTGGGTTGGGAAGCCCCCAAAACTAGAAGGCAGTTACAAAGCTTTCTGGGTTTCGCCAACTTCTATCACCAGTTCATTCCAAACTTTGCACAAGTGGCGCTGCCACTAACAGATTTATTAAAAACAAAAGGCAAGGGTACAACAAAGGCTCAAAGCCCTGGGGCCCCATTGGAGTGGATGGCTGAGTGCCAAATGGCATTTGAGGCACTTAAAGCATTATTCACAGCCGAACCAATTCTAAAACACCCTGAGCCTGACCAACCTTTTGTTATTCAAGCTGATGCTTCCGATGTGGCCATAGGCACAGTGTTGCTTCAGAAAGACAACGGGAGGCACTCAAGCCATGTGCATATATATCCCGCAAATTCACTGAAACTGAAAGGAGATGGCTAGTCTGGGAAAAAGAGGCTTTTGCAGTTCGTTGGGCTTTGTTGACATGGAGACACCTCCTAGAGGGATCGCCCCACCCTTTTGAGGTATGGACTGATCACAAAAATCTAGAAGCCCTCACAACACCTAGAAAGCTTTCTCCTAAACAAGTTCGCTGGGCTCAATTCTTCAGCCGGTTCAAATTTACACTAAAGTTTATCCCTGGAGGGAAAAATTTCCTGGCTGATGCTTTATCCAGACTGCCTCAGCATAACAGCCAACGAGAACAAATAGTGGCTCCGGTGATCCCCAATACGCAACCAGGCGGGGCAATACTTACCAGAGCTCAAAGAAATACACCTAAACCAGCATCACCTAATGACCTGCTCACAAATTCACTGCAGCATTAGACTCAGATGAATGGTTCCAGAAGCATAAGAATACTTTAACTCATGAGCAACAAGCCTCGTGGAGGGGAGACAAATTGTATGTACCTGCATCTCTACAT